TCGCCACCGAATTCCTTGATTATCTTTCGAAACTGTTTATATCACCCAAGAAAGGTCCTCTACTAACTTTATCCTGGGACGAAGCCCATGTACTTACCGAAAAACAATTCAAAGACCCCAAACGATCCTCGAAGTGGACCCAATTCAATGAATTTCGTCGAGTACTTAGAGTTTGTGATCGGAGCGGAAGATTATTCTCCTTATTTCTATCTACAACTGGCAAGATAGACCAAGTCTCTCCTCACTCGAGATACGACCCATCTCAGAGAATTGAAGGCGGAGCACTCCAACTCCCAGATCCCTTTATTAACCTTGGATTCGACCAGTTTGCAAGAGATAAAGTGGATCCGATAATAGGTTTCAACCTTTCGGATGCCGTAAAGACCGAATGGATGGTGCAATTCGGCCGACCTCTGTAAGCCCATCATCTCCCTCACTTTGACAATTGTTTACCTTTGATCAGATGGTATACTCGATACGTGTATGGCAGCGACGACATGCGGAAGCGCATAGTTGACTTTGCCCAGGAAAAGCTACTCTGCAGTGAGATCCCTAAGGCCCATTATCTCCCAACTCGAGAGGAGATATTAGCGATTATGGGCCTTCGATTGGGCCTTACACTAGATGCGCACAACAGGTCTGAGGCAGATGTTGCCAAACAACTTGTAGAACGTCATCTGCGCGTGGTCATGCAGATGACCACGAACTCAAGTACAATCAGGACAATTGCACCATCTGAGCCTATACTTGCAGAAGCATCATTTAGATTGATGAGGTCCTTGAAAACGCTCAAGTGCCACCCAGCACAAGCTCTGCACCAGGTCATTGGAGACTCACTCCATGCAAAAGGGGAGAGGGGAGAGATTATTGCTACTCTTTTGCTCTTATTGGCGAGAGATGCGGTGGCAGAAAGGAAAGATTCAGCCAGGATTTTGGTGACAGACTTCTTGGTTGAGTTGTTGGGTAACCAGGTGCTTGACTTCCTCCGTACCGTTTCAACATCAACATCAACATCAACATCAATATCAGAACAAAAACTGCGAGAGGCATTCCATGATGCATACATTCACTTCACACACGCAATCGTTACGCAAAAACAAGGCAACCTCACGAAGAACTACGTATGGCCACTGCTAGCACGAGGGGCCTTACCTATTTGTGCCATCGGTCAACCAGGCATCGATCTTATGATACCTGTCGTCATGGGGGACATTGTAAACGGAACAACTGTAACTGCAAT